GGTTCCTCTTTGCCCTCGCCGGCAGGCACACACTAAATGCTTTGCAGTGCCAGCAGAAACGTTCCTGCTCTGACTGTAAGGGCTGCCCCCCCCCCACATACAGTGACGCACCACACTGGTCCAGCATCCCGACCTTTGATTACTCCTGTGAACTTTAGAGGAAATCATTGGGGGGTTGAGCTGGGTCACTGTAGGCAAGGCCTTACAGCAGAGCAGGAACGGTTTCTTTCTGCACTGCAGATTACCCTGCCGGCCGAGGCAAAGAGGAACCCAGCTCGTCATTCAGGCAGCCTCGTATTCGCCTTGGACTCCCATCACCGGGCCAACATCGTCAGCGAGCATTTTGGGGAAAATAAACGCATTTTTTAAAACCGGGTTCATCCTCACCTGGTGGCTTTCCCCTCCAGCTTCTCTCTTAGCTTCTCTGAGTTTTTGCTCCTTCTCGAGCGGTTTCCTTCAGATCGCACTGCCAGCTAAAGAAATGAAGAACAGACATGAAAGGAGAAATCTAGAAACCAGGCCAGGTCAAGGTTTAATTCAGTTGCTTTTAGTTAACCTTTGCAGCTGTAGGGGGTTGTGTGCCAAGTGAAGGCGGCCAACCAGCTGGATGGGCGCTCTTCACCACATTTATGGGATTTTTTGTCCATCAACGCCCCCACAGCCGAGCTATCAACTCGTACTTAAACAGGGGCAGCCGCCTAACACAGGCAGTGGTAGTACCAACGGGTAACTTTAGTAACCCATTATGCATTTTACCACACACAATTAGGGTAAACTGAACCGCTGGCTCCATAGAAGGCATTAACATACTGGAGCCATGGCCTTGTTTTAACTTAAAGTGGTTATATTTGTTGTCTCTGGTATTTTAGCTGTCCAAACAATGTAATATTCCCTCTGTGGACGAATAGAGTTATTATGAAGTGTTTTCCCATACATTTGATTTATTTGTGGGGGTGGGCCCGCCACAATTAAATATTGTCCTCCACAAATGGATCTTCAAATAAAAAAAATATATATTATATTCCTTCTTTTTTTGTTGGTGGTCTAATCAATGGATAGTGAGGTGGGAATGATGATCGGAAGGTGGCGAGTTCAATCTGCCCTTGGACAACCACTGCTAGTGTACTTGACAAGGCACTTAGCCCCTCGGTTTACTCGAGGGAGAATGTCTTCTGTAAATTTAATAGTTTTTGGGGAGAATAAATCCACAGATCCTCAACTCAACGGTGGTGGTTTCCACCTCAATTACAACCGCAAACAACAGGCAACAAGAACGTGGGGGGGGGGGGGGGGGTGCGGTGCCCCACAAATAGAATCAATCAAAGTCTGTGGGAAACAGTGTTATGATTCTGATTACAAATGGATGAGAACTTACTTTGCTGTTGACGATGCGCGTGTAGACCTGCAACACTCGCGCCCTGACGTGGGAATGTGTGTCATGAAGATGTTCCTGCATTGTGTCGAAGAAGCGGTCGCGGTCAGCTTTACCAGCGTCGTCGAGCCCGTCGCCACACAGGACCCGAACCAGGATCTCCCCCAGAACCTCACACACGGCAACGCGCATTGTGTGGCTCTGCAACACAAGTGTGAAGGAGACGATAGGTTAGGGCTGCTCGATTATGGCAAAAATCACAATCTGGATCATTTGGGTCAATAATTGATATCACGATTATTAAAAATGATTATCCATTTACTTTGAAAACATCAATTTATAAAAAAAAAAAAAAAATGAGAACAGTATGTTTTTAAAAGTTGATTAACCTGAACTTTAAGTATAATTCAACTGANAATTTTCCATGACTTTTCCCAGGTTTTTACATGACCGCTAAGAACCCTGAATTAAATAGCTTTAAGGACAAGGGGGAGCGAATCCTTCAGGAGCGCCATTTTTAGTCAACTTTTATCAAGGCAGCATTGGGTTTTTAGCATCAACCTGTATTTTGTTGACACGGAGGTACTGAGCAACTTGGACTGCAGTTGCTCTGTCATCCTCTTCCTCCTTCTCATCATCCTCCTCCTCCTCCTCCTCCTCGCTCGTGGGCTCCAGCTCGGTCCTGACAGTGACGAGCAGCTCGGGCTCCATGGCGGCCCACAGCTCAGAAGCTTTAATAACTGCCACTGCAGCGAGGGGGAGGAACATTCAAACGATGGTTAGAGACACCGGGACAACGGACAGAAAGAAATATTACACTCTACAAAAATAAACAAACTCAATGCCATTTTCTAGCTAATGGATATAGATGAAAGAAACATGTTCAATTTTCCGTTTGTATGAGACCGCAACATTAGAGCTGGTTTGCCGAGTTGGTGAATTTTGCCCTCAGATTTTCCAAAAAGCAACTCACTGCTGACTGAAGGTCTGAGAGAGCTGGGTGACCTCCTTGCCTCCTACACACACACACACACACACACAGACAAACAACCACTCCCACTGTCAGCATCCTCCCTGTGATTACTCCTCTGACTTTAGAGGAATCATTGGGGTTGAGCTGGGTCACTGTAGGCAGGCCCTTACAGCAGAGCAGGAACGTTTCTCTGCACTGCCAAGATTACCTGCCGGTCGAGGCAAAGAGGAACCCAGCTCTCATTCAGTCAGCTCGTATTCGCCTTGGTCTCATCACTGGGCAACATGTCAATATATTTTGTCTCATGCCTGTTTAATATGTTTTGACTTAGTAGCACTAATTAATAACAACCAACAATGAACTGATAGCAGGATGAACATTCTAAAGTATGCAGTACCTCTCCCTCCAAGTGTGTGATGAGCACACTGATGTTGGGCATCATTAATTCAGGAACAAGGATGCCGAGTTCAGCAATGAAGGACGCAAAAGCTTTGACCCCGGCGGAATCTCTGGCAAGCTCCTCACTGGACCTCTGACCGATCTCCCTGAAGGAATGGAACGGGGGGACACGCTACTTTGCAGCCACAGAATCACATTTGCGTTAAAAAATAGTTGTTGGAAACATTAAAAAAAAATGAGTACCGACCTAATAATTTCTCCTATGATCCCCCTGACTCCATATTCGGTGCTCCACACAGACACTGCCTGAGCAAACACGCTGGACAACTGCTCAAAGTGTTGCAGCAACTGGATCACCTTCACACTTGCACCTGAAAGCATTTAAGAGTAAACATGAAAATGTACACCGTATGCTGAAACAGTGAGGGTTTGTACGGTGTTTTCTCCCGTTGATATGTGCCCTCTGTTTTTAATCTTGCGGACAGGTTCAGAATATGACAGAGACTAACCCAGGATGTGGTTGTACTTCTTGATTAGCACCCCCAGCAGGTGGATTATACAATCTCTGGTGGGTTTGCTCTTGACGTGGCTGATGGTTGGGTTCTCAAGGAGTTTGTAGCAGCAGCACGTCACACAGCTAAAACCAAAGAACAAAGAAGCAGATAATTCATGCTGTTGTATGATAACATCTGAACAACCTAAAAACAGAAGAAAATCTACACATAACAATAACATAACTAATCATAATAAGATTGCAGAGCTATCCAGAGCTTGTTTGGAATAGTTTTCCACTGTTCTGTTGTATTTTGCTAGGTAATTATAAGTTCTAGTATTAACTGAATATCATTCCAGCTGAAAAGTGAAGAAATGTTCACATGGAAACATTTATGAAGAAACAGTTCCAATATCACCTACCCTTAATAAGTTTGATGCCATAATAATAATAATAACAATAATAATAAGACAAAGATAATTTTCCTCCAATAAACAAGAATATGGGCTAAAATGTTAGCAATGATGGGCAAAGAGCCGCATGACCAATGTGGAAATGACACCAACCAACTGATTCAAGTGGAGCAAGTCTGATATTGTGCTTTTGCCCAGAGACCCCATCAGAAAAGTACCTGATGAACTCTTCGTCCACCAGGGACAGGTTCCAGAGGGAGCGGATATCGAGCTGGAGGAGCTGCACGAGAGCCTGCAGCACTTTCTCTCTCTCAGACTCCCACTGCTGCAGCCCTTCACCCCCACCTTTGCCCTTTTTACTGCCCTGTGGAAGACAGAAAAAACAAGTTTCACTTCCTAGACACTAAAATCAAATAGTCCTGCACACAAACAGTTAGCTTACAACACCTGCCCTCAGTTTACCAAAGACTGTAATTCATATTTCAAACCGAGTGTGGTCTCATGCCTGCTGATACATTCACACAAAGACATAAACACACATCCACACATTGTTTGACATCTCCTACCTGCCCGGTCCCATTGCTCTTGGGGGGGCAGATGTAGTAGAAGGTGTCAGGTTAACTGTGGGTGGGGCCTTACAGCAGTGTGATAAAACTCCATCACAACACCAAGACTACCCATCGATCAGCAGGCTAGAAACCACAATCTCTTGGTTTGACTGCGTCATCAAACTTGCCATGATATCATCATGCGGGCGATTCAAACGGTTAAACACAGCAACGATTCACTGTCATTTAAAACATGTTAGGCTGTGTCTGATAACCATACCTTTCCAGGTGCCGTGATAATGCACTGTCGATAGGCCTCGCTCTCAAAGTTCTCGGAGAGTTTGCAGAGCAGGTAGACGCTCATTTTCACTGCGTTGAGTTTCTCTTTGCGCTCTGCAGCTGTGACGGAGGTGGAGAGGAGAAGTGCTGGCAAGGACGTTGCAAGGCCACTAACCACTGAAAGAAATCAAGACATTGTTTGTGTTGACTGTATGTTTCTGTGTATTGTACAATATGGAAGTATACAAATGAAAAAGGTCTTACCTTGTAATAGTATGTCCAGAGCGTCTTCTTTTACACCCAGCTCCACTGAGTTGCAGTGCCTTTCAAAAGAAAGACAGTAGATTTGTAGGCATTCGGCTCTTAAAAACAATTACTAAAGCAGGCTATAAATATTCAAAAGGACTTACTGCAGTAAGCTGTATCCGGTGTCAAAGTGTTCCAATATACACAAAGGTCCTTGGCTTCTCAGGGCTGCCATAAATTCTGTGTGGTAGAGACAAAAACTTTAGTCACGTTCACCTTAAGTCAGCCCAAATAAAAATGTCTCAGCGAGAACATATCCAGGACTTACTATGAAGATGGGATGGAAGATGTTTAGGGGACACCACATCCTGAACGACGTACTGGTTGATGCCTCCAGACTTCACCAGGTCCCCCACACACACGGGCACAAAAAAGTCCCACGACATCCCTGCGTCAAGCAGACAAAAACAGTTTACTAAACTAGCTTACATAGTTGCGTTATTTGATTATTAACATCCAGTTTTAGTTCTTAACAGTAATCCATGTGCTCGGTGATTCCCAGGCCCCTGTACTTCTTCAACCTCAAGAAATATTTAGATACTGGAAATACTGTGTAGATTACTATTGCCGTGTCTTTACTTGAAGTGACTGAAAGACTTTAGCATAGGATCCGAGTAGTTCTTCCATCTCCGCTTAAACTGAATCCTTTCCTCGTCACGATATGTTAACTGTTACGTTCCTACAGGTTTGATACAAAGTAACAGTAGCTTCGATCACTAAGAAATGTGTTTTAGTCAGTACGTAATGCTAACTGGTAAGTTAACGAGCACACAACTCAACACTAATCTTCAAATTATACTAGTCGTATGATGTATTTATGAAAATTAAATACATGTTTTCTAATCGTAACTGGTGTGTTGTTGTGAATTAAGCTAGCCCCACACAGCTAGTGCTAGCAAAGTTAGCAGGGTAGCTAACTTTAGCTGCTAACTGTTTTTGCTTCATTAGGCGGCTGTACTTATGTTGTTATGGCTGTTATTTAACGAGAACCACAGAAGCTACACTTAGCTGTTGAACTATTTTAGAAATATAACGCTCACCTCTAGCGGCTGTTGCCCTTTTATCCACGATGAAGACCTCTGGAGACTGAAGGTATAGCTGCTCTGTCCGCGGCCCCTGGCTGTTTGAATCTGCAGCTTTTCAAACTTTCCTAGACATCGCGCCAAAGCAATGACGCGCTGACGTCACACGTTAACGGGGGGGAGGGGGGGGGGGGGGTTACCCAGCACTGCCACCTATTGGACAGATGTGAACACTGCAGCAGTCACACATTGTTTTATTTTAACGGGAAACAGAGGTTTAAAGACTCACGTTTTTTTTTTAAAGTATTTGTATTTAATTGGATTCTTAACTCTCTTGCTCTTGCGAAAAACAGGAGGATAGAATATTGCGGAAATGTAGTTAAAGTCACTTCAATTGCTGTTTTCTCTTCTCATGAGATCACAAATGATGTCTGTATTATTTGAATGTGTCTCTTATCAGTTGTATTCTTTATTTCCTCATTTCCATTTTATGTATTTTGTGCAATTCAAAAGTTAGGTTTATTGTGTACTTACTTGTGCTTGGTATTTACAATTTGCAAAGAAACAATGAATTACAGATATTGATATTATGTATTTTATATATATTGTTCAATTCATAATTTAAGTCATTGGCTCCTGTCCTACTAGTACTGTAGTTTTGTTAGGCAAATTCCTTATACATGAATAATCGACTTGGCTTTATTCATATTATTCTAAAAGTTTGGTGGAGATAAGACAAATATGAAAACACAGAAGACCACATTTAAAATTCAGGGCTTGTAGGACCGACTATCTGTTGAAAACACACACAGGACACAAAGGACCACAAAGGCACGTTTTTTGAGGTAGTAGCTGTATTCAAATGATTGACAACAATCACCCCCTCTCCACTGTACCAATATTTCAGCTACAGAAATGACAATAGTTTTTTCACAAAATGTCTTACTTTCTATACAGCACTCAGTCAAATGTTAAAATGAAATAGTTGAAGTCACTACCCACTGATTACCAATACTCTCAGGGTGCAGCGTTCATCTTCATGTTCTTTTGCCCTCTTGTTTTACTTAAAACATAAAACTAGTGTTCCAATGCTAAGCACAAAGAACTAACTATACAACAAAGCAAAATAAAGTATCCATGGTCTAACTGTTTTCAGAGATAATACTTACATTTTGTAATCATACATGTGACTATAATATAAAGTGTTTTTGACAACTTGTAAATGTTAAACCATTAGGGGCAGTCGTAGTGTTTATAATTCAATCAAGTCAAACAAAATGTAAAAAAAGGAATAAAATAAGAGCACCAAAGGTAACAAAAAAAGCAAAAAATATGGTTAACCGTTTAAAAAAAAAAAATCAATATTTAAATACACTTGTAACCACTTGGCTCCTTCACACGCACTGCATCAGACCAAGGCAAATTACGTCAACGGAAAGAAAAAGCACCAAACGTTAAGGAATATGAGAAACAAAAACTCTACTGTAGTAACTAATGAAGAAATATTCTTCTCATCTTCCATGATCAGTGTCCACTTTTTGTTCCAGTTCTTATTTTCTCTTTCTGTCTTGAGAGCATCGTGGACAATACCTGCACAGAGGAGAGATAAAACACATGTAGGTGACTTGAATAATTGATTACCAATTCACACTCCCATTGTTCACATTGGAACTGGGGACAGTCGACAGAGTTTCTTACCATTTGCCTCTGGGTTTGGTTGTCAGGCCCACGCATGCAAAATGGAACCACTCAATGGAGCACTAGAGAGAAGACAAAAAGAAAATGTGCTGTTAAGTTTTCATGCAAATGGAGCACTTAGTCCAGAGACAACGAGGCATGCATTGTTTTTATACGGGAATTGGCCCAAAAAGGAAATTTAGCACAAATGTATTCAGAGATTCTAACTTTAATGTCATTATTTTGCCTATGGATATTTATATTATGAAAGTTTAAAATAGTCTATAGAGAGGCGAAGTCCCTCCCTTTCCGGGGGACCTCCATGGGATCTTATTTCGGAAAAAGTATGTATTGAAGTCAATGGGGAGAGAAATATTATCTTTGGATCCCGTTTGAATTGTGCCACGAATTACACATATGATGTTTGTCAATTTAAAAGATAATTTTGCAAGTCAAAAAAAAAAAATGTGTGGTAAAACTGTGAAGTAACACTTTTCTTTGTGTGAAACCGCTCAATGAACTACATCTCCCATCTCGCACCACACACCAAGACGGCCGTCACGTTGTCACATTTCACTTCTTTCTTTCAGAATGAGGCGGAAAGTATTAAAAGAGGTGAAAATCACTCCAAGTCTGGGAATGTTGAGAGCTGTACATACACACAAGGGACCGGGATTCTGGGATTTGTAGTCTTTCTAGTTGCGTATTTTTCATAGTCTTATATTTCAACAGTTTTACGACAAATTATCTTTTAAATTGACAAACATCTGATCATATGTGTGATTCGTGGCACAATTCAAACGGGATGGAAAGATACGTTTTCTCTCCCCATTGACTTCAATACATACTTTTTCTGAAATAAGGTCCCATGGGGCGGAAGTAGATGGGCGGGACTTCGCCTCTCTATGCAACAATGTTTACTTCACTTTTCTGTCCTCTTTAATTTAACCCAGTTTCTTATCATTGTTCCTTTTCCTCTTTTGTACATTTTCAGTTCTTAATGTCACTAGCAAAAGCCTCCACTATCAGAGGACCAATTATACACAAAAAAAAGACTTTCTGTAGCCTTTTTCCCGCCTAATTTAATATTCTCAAACAACATTCTTCCAAGTATTAACCCTGAATAATGGCGAAATATATCAAATCAGTTGGTAAATGAACATCCAAAGGGTACTTCATGGCCCTGGACTGAGACTGACGGGGCGGAGAAACCAAACTCACATCAGTGTTGTCGCAGCCGATCATCTCGCCGTAGGAGACCTGATGACACAGACAGTAGGTGGGCTCGTTGGGGTCCACCGGCATGTCCAGCACATCAGAAGGGTGCACGTTCCCAAAGTTAGTGGCAGGGCTGTTGAATTCTCCTCTAATGATTGAGAGATAATAATTGAAAGTGAGAATGATAATTTAACGAAGTAAAAATGTGTTACTTTGAATCTGAGAAGTCAAGACAGCAGGAATGAAGCCACACAACGTACGGCTGAAGGAGTTTGACTTTCTTCTGTGCACTCTTGGGGCTGCCATCTTCATCCGAGCTCTTCACTTTAGATCTGGTCTTCGCCGTCTTCTTTTCCTTCAGTCTGGTTTCAACTGGAATCACACAAGCACTTTATTATATATTGCATCGTTGGAGGAGCTCGGGTCATAAGATTTTCATTGCCATTTCTACACTGTCGCCTTTGAAACTTGAATGATATCATAAAGCTTGGATTTGGACTCCCTGACAGTGCGCTGTGCAAGGCAAGTAGATATTAAGCAAATGAAATGGAAACACACTTTTCTTGCCCTTGCTCGAGGTGGAATCATAGTCCGTGCTCTCTATCTGCTTTTCCTTCAAGTCAGCTTCAAACCGAGCCAGGTCTGTGTCCAGACGTCGGATGTGTTTGTCGACCTGCAGAAAATACAACAGATTAATTATGATTATGGCACGGTTGGACGACATTGTTTTCCCACTTATATTACCTAGAGATGTATATAAGAACATTAAAGCTACTAACCATTTCATAGGTCTGCATGGCCAGTTGCACCTTATCATCTCCAAACTCTTTGCATTTACTGTAAGACTGCTGAATCTGCCTCAGTATGGACAGCTTCTGTTCAGAGGACAGCGTCCGGGCGTTGGCTGTGTATTCTTTAGCCAGAGAGTCTATCTGTCCCTTTAGATCTGAGAGAGAGAGACAAGTAGAGCTGAGTTAAGTTAAACTTCTTATACAACTCTTAACTGTTTGGTCAATGTTACTCAAACAAATACATAAAAGGAAATTAACCTACTTCTCGAATATACAGAAATAATTGCACAACTTAAATTTTAGACATCTACTTGTTTAGCATGCATAAACAACTCATACAGGAACTCCCAGAATATTAAAAAATATAATTCACAAACTATTACACTGAATTGACAAACATCAATAGAATATAGCACGATACAGCACATTTGCTGTGTTGCAGTGGCACTACATACAATTACCATTAACATAAATATGGGAATACATATGCTCAGGGTAATTAAATTGAAAACAACTGTGCATAGCTCTTTATAAATATATTCATAACCACAATACTAGTATTCTACTGTGGGTCAATGGCTTCAACAATGTTTGGCCTATGACTCCCTTAGGGTCCAAATATTGAGTATTTCCCACAAAAAGGCAAACATTAGTAGAAGAAGTAATTGATTCTCTACTTTCTTAACCTCGTTTTCATCTTGTGACCCCTCATAGATTTTAGGGATCCCTTGCATAGATGCAAATATGAGGTTGTTTGAAGACGAGATATAAAAGTGGGCTTTTATAGGTAAAGAGAACAAGCTTTTTCACACAATTGCAGGGTTAGGATCCACAGATAATACATTCAATTTCTCTCACCCTCTGTGCGTTGATCTAGATCTCTCATCAAATTGAAGTTTCTCTGCAGCTCAAAGGGCAAGTTTTCTATGCCTGTTGTTGTGAAGGGAGACAACAGTCAGTATAATCCCGCCTTCAGCCAGATAACAATAATGCATTTTTAATTATAGAGCACTTTCAAGAAACTCAAAGACACTTCACAGTGTAAAAAATACATTAAAATATAATCAAAACAACACACTTAAAATATATGAAACTCAACATTATAAGAGATTAAAAGCGGTTCTGAAAAGGAAACGTTAAATGCAGAACGGCTGGCTTAATCACTTGATGCTCGGGGTTAAACAACCCACAATTAAAAAACATTTAAAATATACAAAACAGTACATTGATTATGGATTAATAGCGGTTCTGAAAAGGAAACGTTGACGTGTAGAAGCTAGCTTAATCACGTGATGCACTGGGCTAACATATTAGCGCTTAAAATCAGCATTCACAATTTATGCAAATAACAACAAGATACACAAATACAACTGTCTTTTACTTATTTAATTAATCTAAATTAGGTCAGTCAAAAGAACACAATGTAATCTCATATAGCATGATTTATCTGCTACTGGGAGATTCGCTATTCCAGGAAATAGTCAGAGCCCAAACCCGCTGACCGTTGGGGAAACGGTTGCATGTTTCCGTTCCCCACACGGGTTGTTTCGAGGCTTCATTGCTCAGCGAAATACAAAGTATGAAATCAGATAAGTGGGATGAATTTTTTGAATGTGTTAAACGGTGAAAAAAACAGCTTACTGTCCAAATAATGCTCCAAATACATCCCCGCCGCCATCTTAGAAAATGTAAACAACACAGCTTCCGGTCCGGAATGGAGCTGATTGGTTGATTCCACACTCACTAGAGTACTGTAGTGTTCCAGCACACATTCACATCCCAAGTGGTAATTTAATTTGAATGTATCTTATATATAACCAAATGTCTTTAACACAAGCTGGTATATTGCAAGTTTAAGTTTCGGAATATTTCTGAAATTTAATTATGACCACTTAGGACTTAATATTCAACATGTTACAATAAGACTTACACACTTGAATTGTGTAGATGTGTTTTCATTTTCAATATCTAAAATTAGACAAATGTTTATTTTTTAATTATGGTCAGTCAGAACTCAAATTCAAGATATATTGTCAGTCATAATTTCAATGAGAGAAAGACATTTGGACATTCATTTATTTGGTAGAGATATGAAACTATACAAATAAAACAAATTAGTAATTAGTAAGGTAAATGTCTTATATTAGCCAAAAGAAAAAGGAGTGAAAGCTACAATTTGAAAAGGGTTTATTTATAGCTGGCTTGAAAATGTTGGCGTAAACATTAAAAAGGAAGACAAATCAAACAAGTGATGAGAAAGATATCTTAAAAGATTTATTATGTTTCGCAGATTTATGGAAGTAATCCCACCCTGCAATTAAATCAACAGACAAACATAATATCCTTGAACACAATAAAAAGGGAGGACCCAATTTACGCCAACTAGTCTAATTAATCCATTTGTACATAGGTATTACAAATAATATCAGACTGACACATACAGTATCAACACACTGTAATAAAACACAGTTTGTCTGAAGAAATCTGGGTCCGTTAGGTAGCTCTAGAAAGCTCCTACATAATCTAGTTCAATTCATCCCGCTGTACACAGCATCACTCTATTTCATTTTTCAACAGGCTCTGTAGCTTTCTGAATTTATTCTTTCCCATCCTTTTCTTCTCCTTCATGGGTGATTTCTTCTGTTTGTCAGCCTTTGATGCTTTCGATTCATCAGCTGTTTTCGCTGCAGGTTTCTTGGCCATGGCCCCTTTCACAGTCTCTCCATCCATCTTGGCTTTCTTTGCCTTTGCTGGTCCCGCAGGTGAGTCCTTTTTGCCTTTTGGCTTGGCGATTGCCTGCCTTGCCTTGGCTGCTGTCCCGTTGGTTTGGGGTTTTCCCTTCAAGCCGCCTGCCTTTCCGGGGACGATCGTCTTTTTCTTGGCCGCTGTCCCGTTGGTTAGGGGTTTTCCCTTCAAGCCGACTGCCTTTCCGGGGACGACCTTCTTTTTCTTGTCACTTTTGGCGGATTTCTTTTCAGGGGATTCTGTAACCACTGTCGCCTCAGGAGCCTCTCCATTTTCCTCTTCTTCTACAAAACAACACAGGATGAGTTTATGTTAAACAGGTTAACTAACATGGTTAAAGTTGGCATGCGATTGTTGGATAGAGCGTTACCTTTTACTACTGGTGTAGTTGGAACTACGTTGGAGAATTTCTTAAACTTTGCCACAAAAAACCCATCCATGTTGTGGGTATGAGGGTAAAATCGGCGAGACAGTTTCAGAGTTGGATGGAATCTACGTTCCTTAAACCTGAACAAATAAAATAAGGGTTAGACATGTTGAGAGTATTTGCCTTCAATAACTCAACTCATTGGTTATCTCCTTTACCTGGTGAAGCCTTCCTTGCCAAAGTCAAGTCCGCAGGGAACTAATTTGACATTCCTTTTCTTTAAAGCGTAGTCCACCACCCATTCATTCTCCTCCACCTGGGAGAAGACATTTTGATCAGTATCCAAATGATTCTGCTAAAAACTCACAAAAAATTTCAAACCTAAGAATGTGTTAGCTGCATATGCAGTAGGATTGCAGTGGTTTACTTGTGCAACAGAAAAATAAAGGTGATACAACTACACATGTTTATTTACGGTTAGGGAAAGTAAATATAAATATAGGGAAGCTAACAAAGGGAATGTGTGGAAGTTTAAAAAGGAAGATCTTTCACCATTGCAACCCCTTAAAGCAGAACACATACCATAATGGAGCAAGTGCAGTAGATTACATATCCTCCCGTAGAGGACTCAGCGTTGACGGAGTCGATGGCGGACAGAAGCAGTTCCTTCTGTAGGTGGGCAGAGCGCTGGATGTCACCTTCATCCTGTCAGGGAATAACAGGGTGGGAACAAGTATTAAACACTATTTAAAACCTACAGTAAGGATCTGTGTGACCGTGTGTGTGAACAGTGAATGTTGTTTTTACCTTGCTGGTCTTCACAGCCGGATCTTTAGCGATGACTCCGGTGCCTGAGCACGGAGCATCGAGCAGCACTCGGTCAAATCCACCCATCACCTGCAGGAAACAAATGAAATCAGTGAGTCAGAATACTGCAGAAAACTGTAGTATCAAGGCCTCTACACATGGGGGGGCATGAGGAATACACATGAACATGTAGTTCCAACACTTGTTCAATAACTCAAATGTAATCGCACTGAATACTCTAAACTATTTTAATGAGTTTCTTTATAACAAAATGCTCTGGCTGAGTTTGAGTTCTCTCTGGTAAACATGTTTGCAGCGTATATGTCCAGGGGTTTTATATAATCCTCTAAACATGATTGGCTGATGAATTTATTCACAAATCGAAAGCTAAGAAAAACTTACCTTGTTCTGGAAACAATTACAGTTTATTTTACAATTTAATATTTGATTTCTGGGAGAAAAAAACATTAATACATTTGTTGACATATGACCGAATCGGACAGAGACATGCACGGTCTGTACAAATCTGAAAGGTTAACTCTGTATTAACGTTACCTTTGGGAACTGCCTCCCATCGTAGTTGCAGACCACCGTGTTGGTGACGCCCAGACGGTGGATGTTCCCCACCACACTCTTCAGTCTGTCAGCGTTGGCGTCATTCGCCACGATCGTCCCCGTGTTTCTCATCAGCTGAGCTGAGGGGGGAACATTCACATATATCGTTACAAACTGTTAACTTGCATGCGAGTAAAACTGTCATTTGCCTTGCTCTACATTACAGCTGAGTCCACTAGTGTGACATTCAACAGTTGTTTCAGCTTTTACTTTCAGCAAGTGCACCATCATTGAGATCAGCTCAAATATAATCATTGTTTTGCTTTTCTTCTTCACACATGATTGTAAACTAAATATTCTTGGATTTAGGACTGCTGGTTGGATTAAATAAGGATTATAAATATGACATGTGGCAAATTATAATGCACATTTCACACCACTTTGAGATATATTAGCAACAAAACATTCTGAAAATCAACAGAAACGGATCACTAGATGAATCTATAATGAGAATAATCATCTCTAGTCAACATTATACAGTTTCATAAGTGTGTATTTAAATGTCAGCACATCTTACCGATATAAGTGGTCTTCCCTCCTGGGGCTGAGCTCATGTCCAGCACTAACTCCCCCTCCTGAGGAGAGAGCGCCATGACAGGCAGGAAGCTGGAGGCTCCTTGCAGCATGTACTGACCGGACAGATACTCCGGGGTCGCACCTTTTAGAAAACACAGGAAGAGTCACGGTTAAAGCTGGTTTGGGAAAAGGTCAACTCAGATATTCTCCACTCAAAGGTCCTTAATGGTTAAAGTCAGATTGTTGATGCTGAGACTTACCGACGGGTACTGAGGAGTCGTAGATGACCAAACCCACTTTAGACCATTTGCCCAAAGGGTCAAGGTTCACTCCTCTGTTGATCAGGGCCTAAACACGAAAGAACACACACGTTATGTCAAACATATGAGCACTTGAAGGCAGCACTTGAGACTAGACAATAAAAGTGAAGTCTTTGAGTTGACAATTAATTTCTTTCTCTGAAATGTCACATTGTTGGTTCTGCCAACCGCATTTTTTTAAGTTGTATTGTTATGTTACATTTCTTGACATATAATGCAGTTAAATCGTGTACAAAATAAATAAATGACTACTTTATTCATGCTTTTTAATAAGTTAAATTCAGGGTTCATACACTTGTTCACCAATGATTTTCAATGACTTCTCCAGGACCTTTACCTCATTTTCCAGGACCAAAAAAATGACTCAGCGGTACCACTGAAAATGGTTTATTTGAACATGGAACAGGAAAATAAGGTCTGAAACATGTTGGTCCTATCTAAAACAAATCAAATAGTAGGCNCCCAAATCAGCACTTTTGAAGCAGGAAGTGAAATAGAGGGATATGAGGCATGGCTAGAATGGGTGATCTGTTTGGTATTTTGAGCAAAACGCTTCATAGACATGTTTTTTATATATTTGTATATATCTGAGACCTATGCTATTGCCTAAAAATAGCATGATAGGTGACCTTTAAATGAGTGTGACTTGAACTAGTGTTGCTAAAGTGAGTATATCACAGCAAATATCCACGGTGTTCATCGTCCGTTACGTTTTCCCTGAAGGATTCACTGATGAGAACAGTGAATGGTTGACACCAGCTAAGAGGAAGCGCAAACTGGAAGAAGCTGAAAGTGGGGATGACAGCGATGAACACTGGGAGAACGAGGAAGATCTGGAGATGGAGGATGAGGAGGAGGAGGAGACAAAGAAAGAAGTAAAAGAACAAGGAAAGAAGAAGAAGAAGACTGCCAAAGTAGAAATCAAAGAAGGAGAAGAAAAGGAGGATGATGATGACGATGACGAAGAAATGGTTGATGACTACGGAGCACCTGATGGCAGTGGAGAGGAGGAAGCAGAGAGTGATGGAGAGGTATGTAACGTAGTTCTGACACATGTTCTTGTATTTTTCTTTATTTATGACTGAAAATTCGGCTGTCATTTCTAAATAGATGTTATCATCGCAGTCCCTGATTGGACTTCACTGTTAATGTATTCAAACGAAGCTCCTGGTTGTTGTGGAGTGTATCAACGTGTTCGATGGTCCATGTGCTACTTATAAAGATAGTATGAATTAGGGCTGCTCGATTCTGGCAAAAATCCTAATCACGATTATTTTGGTCAATAATTGATATCACGATTATTAAAAACGATTATCCATTTACTTAGAAAACATCAATTTCTTGAAAAAAAAATGTGAACAGTATGTTTTTAACAGCTGATTACCGTGAACTTTAAGTAGAATTCCAACTGAAAAAAAAAAAAATTTAACTTCTTTTTTTTTTTTTAATAAAATTAATTATCGTTTTATCTCGATTACATTGTTTTCGTAATCGTTGCTAGACAAAATCGTAATCGAGATTAAAATACGATTAATTGCACAGCCCTAGTATGAATGACTAACAACGTTCCTTGTGTTGTTTACTTTTAGCTCCTTCCCATCGAGCGCGCAGCAAAGAAAGCACAACAGCTGAAGGAAGCCTTGGATCTGGATAGCGACGACGATAGTGACGATGATGAAGATGATGCTAAAAAGAAAAAGAAATCCGATTCTGATGAGGAGGAAGACACGGTACAAGCCAACATGGATGAGATGGACGCATTCAAGCTCCCCGGGGCAGAGGAGAGTGCGAATGAAGGTGAGCGGCTTTCCAAAAAAGTGTTTGTCTTTCACATCAAATTTGTTTATGCAAGAAGTCTAAATGGTGTCTGTGTTTGAAGGCCTCCTGCCTCTGGACCTGAAGACCATCCATCAGAGGATAAAGGACAACATCGAAGTGCTCTGTAACTTCACAAAGCAGAGAGAAGAGGGCAAAGAGAGGGCCGAGTACCTCTCTCTCCTGAAGAAGGATCTGTGTACTTACTACAGCTACAACCACTTCCTCCTCGAGAAGCTAATGGACATCTTCCCCCTTTCAGAGGTGGGTCATTGTTCCCACTCAGGTCCTACCAAAAAGAGCACGTTGTGATGTTGTTTGATTATAACAGAATAATGTACACAATTACAAGACTTTGATGTTTTGAGTTCTGTAAAAAAATGTGAATACACTGATTCTTCAATTTTTTATTTATCGATCTGTTTTTCCTTTCTCGCTCACAGCTGGTTGATTTCCTCGAGGCGAATGAAATCCACAGACCTGTCACTATCCGCACCAACACACTGAAGACCAGGAGGAGGGATCTGGCCCAGGTCAGTGCTCAGAGTGGGAGAGGGGGATTAAACGGCTAGTTTCTTGCACTCAACAGGGTTCTTACGGTCATTAAAAACCTGGAAAAGTCATGGAAATTCAAAATGCTAATTCCAGGCCCTGGAAAGTTATGGAAAACAATATTTTTCCCAAAGTTTTGGAAAAGTCATGGAAATGTAACCAAAGTTTTATCAAACATAATTTATAGAAGCTAGTAAGCCTACTATTTGATTTGTTTTAGATAGGACCAACATGTTTCAGACCTTATTTTCCTGTTCCATGTTCAAATAAACCATTTTCAGTGGTACCGCTGANAGTAATACCTTTACTACCAAATGTGGCCCGCGGACCATTTTGAATCGGCCCTCAGCAAATTCAAAAGATACAAGTTTCATTTGAGGGCCATACTGCATTATATCTTTTGAATTTGCTGAGGGCCGATTCAAAATGGTCCGCGGGCCACATTTGGTAGTAAAGGTATTACTATAGCAAGAAAGTACTTGCATGAATTCACATTAGGGCTGCACGATTTGGGGAAATAATATAATTGCGATTTTTCTGACAGATATTGCGATTGCGATATTTGTTTTTAAGCGACCCAACGGAAGTTTATTGTAAAATGCGGCCATATCTCCGGCTAGGAAGGTCGTATCAATGTGCTCCTGTCTCTAGCACCCCCGCAAAGAACTAAACTTACATGAAACTTCCGTTGGGTTGCTTTAAAGTCAAGCTTCAGTTTAAGATTCACCCTGTAATAGATGTAAAACATGTGATGGAGCATTACTAACCTGACTCAGACGGGTTTTTTCACCAAACCATCTAGGAAAGCTCCATGGAAGCCATTTGGAAAGGGCAGGCACTTTCAAAAATACTTGGCAGGTGATTGGATCAATCTGTCCATCACCTACTATCATGAGCCACTTCTGATTGGTTAACAATGACTGGTACATGTGGAGCACAGCAATTCTGATTGGTGTGGATGACTGAAACACAAAAACAAATTAAATCACAGGCTTTGCGATTTGATAATTGCATCATTTAAAAATCGCGATTTCGATTTTTAAAATGGATTAATCGCTCAGCCCTAATTCACATTGCCACACTGATATGCAAAATGCAGATGATTACATTTCTGATACAGTTGGGTAAATACATTTTGCTCCTTATTACTGCAGCAACTGTTGCTCTAAAATCCAAGCATATGAGAACCTTCATTTGTAGACTGGTTTGCAAATCAAAGCATTTTTGTGACCTGAAATGTACAAATACACACATAGTGGTAGTAAATAGGTTCTCAGTTGTTGCTCTTATACCGTCATCCAATAAACAGCAGCCTTTAACACACAACTCTGAAATGTTCTGTAATCTCATCATTTAACCCTGTTCTCGGTAACTAAAACCCTTACATTCAGCAATTTGTTATATGAGAAGAACAGCTTTATAATATCAAATTAAAGTTATGACACTTTGAATCTAGTGGCGCCTGTTTAAACCAACTGCAACAGTTTTTCATTGTGCTGAAGCAAACTGTATGTAGACTGAGGGCATATATGCAGCGGTCAAGTTTATCTTGAAACATGGAAAGCAGATGTTCATACATTCAGATGTGGCTCTAATAACAAATATTATTTGCATCTTTAATAACAGTTTCTAGATAACCGTAGGTTCACGAAAGTCATCCACATTTCAGACATGCAACCATTTCAAAGGCTGAAAAGGAGAGTAGAAAGAACAACAAAAGTCATTTTCCAGGTAAAACTAAATTGATTTTTATTGAAATGTCTTGTACATTTTCGGCTGGGCAGGATAAGATGTCACTTCATTTCCAGTGGTTTCTCACATCTAAACACTGCCAGGGGTTTTTAACCTTGTTACTTCCTCATTAAGACTCTTGATCAAACCTCTTCCCTCCCAAACAATGAGTCACATTATTCATGTTGCTCAGACCCAATTTAAGCATCTGTATTTGATAAAGACAGAAATGTTAGGAGGAAGAAGACAGACATGATGGAGGACACCCTGAGTGTCTAGCCCATCATACATTTGCTGAAATGGCATTTTATGTTTTATATTCTGGGAAATGACCGATTCAAGGGGTTAAGGGGATCAAAATAATAATAATAATGCACTGAGCCTGCAGCCCGCGACCGAAGTAAGAGTACATCTCAAGTAGAGCCTGAAATCTTGAACAATTTTAATCTGCGTTGTCTGTTTTAATGCGACACATTCAAGATACAAGTGCTGATTTTCTGTCAATATCAACTTGAGACAAAAATAAATAAGCCAGGTCTGTTTTTAGATTAAATTGATTCTGACAGCCGAACAAAACAGCCAGTCTGCTGCAGAGACTGACTTTTTTGACAGAATGCCACAACCCAAAATATATTTCAAATAGATCCAGCCAATGCTACTTAAATATCAATTTGTGGGGACAACATATTCTCCCTAACACAGGAGCAGCTGACAAGACGAGAAGGAGCGAACCACTTCAAAAAGGCAGATAGTCAACACCTTCAGTTGTGATCTCTGGGCACAGGGACTCCTCTCTACATCCCCAAATGTAACGAGACACATATTCCAGTATTTATGTCTCTTTAAATTAATCCCCAATCATACATTTCACTCCAGTGATGCAGAACCAAAGTATTTAATTTTTTGGCAAACAGTCTAACACAGGTTTGTAAACAAATTTTCCCTTGTTGAAATAAAGACTTTTCATAGAAGCCATTCATCCATCCATTGAACTAAACTTATCAATGTTGACCAAAAAAAAAAGAAAAGAAAATCTTCCACTGCTCTGCAGAACTCAAACTGAGAATCAAATACATTTGAAATCCTAATAGAGATTTGTTCTCTGGTGGAAGTGTTTTGCTTCTTTCTAGGAACAGAAAGGGTTTTCCGCCGGGTAAAGCTGAAGAGGTTCGGCGCGCTCCTTTCCCGGGCTCTGCGCCGTTAAGGAAAATAAGGATCTTCTAGATCTCTTCGATTAAGATCGGAGACGTCAGCCAGGTTGATCCTGAGTGCTCTGGCCGGTCAAACACTATATAGCAGCTTTTTTTTGTTTTTCACGTTTATCACTTTTTCTCCACATTTCTATTTTTTTCCTTACACCTGTCACATCCGTACGGACACACACACACTCATACAATTTGTAACACTCCTTCCAGACTAAACTTTCTTCCTTAATCGCTCCGACATGCGCGCAGACACACACAACCTGCTTCCAGGCAGTTATAGTTCCTTTGTGTAGCCCCCCTAAGGGTCGCCAGACTCAAGGTTTTCCGAGTGTAAACACCTTAAGGCACCCATAATGCAATGTGAACACTAAACACTGATGGTGCAGGGAGTACTTCCCCTCACCGACAGGGGGGTCGCACTCCTTTAGTTTCCCAACCCTCTCCACCCCATGTGGCCATTACAACTAAATGTACAATCCATGCACACATACTGCTTCTCCCTCAGGTCAGAGCCCTCCTGCCGTCTCGTTTCCTTTCCCCTTCATCCTCAAACTCAGCGAGGTTATCCAGTACAGTTTTATGAAAGGAGAGGAAATGAGGCAGGAGAGACGTCTGTCCCAAATTAGATGACAATGGATCTCACGTGCAAAATGGCTTCACAAAGTCAAAACACATAAGGCCTGCGGTATTTCTTTTTGCATTGTTGTCAACAAAAGTTAAACAATATATCATCTGCGGACTCTTCTTTGCACTACGAGTCCCAAAATAAATAGATCTCCCTCTCTTTTTTTTACTTAAATACAAGTTCATATTTTCTCTGATGCTCAAAAATACTTTTTTTGTTCTTTTTTTTGCCTGAAGATAAAGTCCTTCAAAAAAAAGGTTAGAAGATTTCCCCCCCCCCCCCGAACCCCTTCACACATGCAGGCAGCCCCTTCCACTGAGCTGGTGGTTTGAGATTCCACAGGAGCTCTTTGAGAAATAAACATAGGAGAAAAGCAAAAAGACGGAGGGTAAAGTCAAAGTAAGTTTTTTTTTTTTTTAAAGATTGCAGGCAACAACGAAGCCAGTGGAATCAAAGATGGGAAAAGAGGTAAGGAATGAAGGAAAAAAGGATGATGGGAGAAGGAAGACTGGTGGATGTGGAGGCAGTAACTGAAAGGGTGTTAATAAATAACAGCCGGTCGGACACGCCCTCCTGGGTCCACGCTCCTCTCTCAATACTGACAGTGGAGGCATGTGCTCAGCACCAGGCCGTGGATCTGCGCTGGTCGAAGTCAGCGATGAGCCGCTTGATGTGGGCCAGCTTGTTGTGCAGATACTCGCAGCGCTGCTTCTCCTCGTGGTAGTTGGGGCTGTGCTGTAAAGCAAACGCACAAATAATATGAGACTCCTGCTGCGCTAGACAGAAGGAGAGCAAGCAGAACTAACATGAGAAACAACGAGCAAGTGTTTCGTTAGTGTGTAGAAAAAAAACAGGCAGAAGTGGAGAAGCACTCACGTGTTTCATCTTTTTGTACTCTTTCAACACTTCTTCTTGCACCTTCTGTAAAAAATGAAAAATCACTTTTAATGCATTTGAACATTACAAGAATTACATTCATTGTAACAGGACAACGCGTATACATTTAGCTGATATACAAATCCAAACTCTAAAGTGATATCTGTGTGATAACATGGCACAAAAGCAGCACCTAGAAACAATTATCCATGGAGACCGATTTAGTAGATAATAATAATAATAATAATAATAATGATATACTTATTCATTTAAAATACAAACAAAAAGGCCACATCAGCATTACTATATAAAAATACATATATAAATATTTACTATATATAAAATAATGTATTATATTACATGATTGCCTCTGCATTGGATTATTATCAGATAGGGTAATAACTTCATAATTAACTATGTCTGAAAGCAGAAGTCTAGGGCCAAATATTGCAAGTCTCTTCAGTGAGAATTTCACAAAATGATTTAAAAAGAAAAGTGAAATTCTGAAAAAAAAGTCAGAGAAAAAAGAAAAAGGGACATTTTGAAAAAAAAGTTACATATTGAAAAAAAAAGTCAGATTCTGAGAAAAAGACACATTTAAGATGCATT